CACCTTTCATGGATTTTTGAATTGAACGTCTGTCCTCCTACTCAAGGTGTCTCAAATCACTTCACTTTGGAAATCTGTTGCTATGGATGGGTTTTGAAATGGTGAGCAACAGCTGCCTCTGCTCCACGTGATGTTTCTGGGGCCACACAAACATGTAGTATGCTGTTCATTGTGAGGTGCATCGTCAGGGTTCAAAAAGAAAGAACGTAATGGGAAACAACCATATGGGGAGGATAAAAACCAAGAGGTGAATGGCCACGCTTTCTGGTAGGTGGGTTCAAGGCACGGGGAGAGCTGGGAAATCGTTTGAACAAGAGTGTGGTACCCTGCTCATTGAAATGCTATCACCTCTGAAGACTCGGATGTTGGAATGGTTTGTCTGTGGCCCGGCACACCTTTCCTTTCCTTTCTGAGCACAGGGGGCCTGAGTTACCATCCCAGTGCTTAACAGCATGCGCTCATCCCTTTGGAAAGCACAGATGGAGAACCTGCTCCTTCTAGCTCAGTTTAAGAAGGTCACAATTCAGTCTGGTTTCCAGTTCCGTTTTGGATCAGAGGAGACCCCCGGTATGCCTTATTTCTATTCGTATTTTATTTTTTGCATGTATTGGTGTTCCTGCCTTCAGTATGTTCCTGAAGGACAAAGTTTGCTTTCCCGTGGCCGTCACAAACTGCCGTTTGGATTTTTCTCTCTCTCCTTTTCTCTCAGCCTGAATTTCATGCCCATGCAGAGCTCCTAGTCCTGTGTCACATCTAAAGGTTATGTCCAGTGCTTTAGCTGGAGCTGCAGGAGGCATGCCCAGCAGCCAGCCAGGGTGCCTGCCCCGCTGTAGAGTAGATGGCCAAGAGATCCCTGCTGTTTTTAATAGCTCTCTGACACTCTTGGCTAGCAAACGTGGCACATTTCATTATAACTCAGTTTCATGCAGGCAGGTGACCTTTGTGGTGATGAAGTTAAGCATCTCACCCTTTGCCATCTTTTTAAAGAGCTGGTGGCAGTTTCCTTGCTGCTGGGCTGTGCGTCCTTAGAGTTCATCCAGGGCATAGGCTTACGTGCTGGCGGGGGGCAGGGTCCTGATCCACTTCATAACGAATCACACTCTGCCTCTGCTCGGTTCCCTGGACTTACCTTCACAGTGCACATCTTCTGTGAGCTTCCAGTGCTGGGCAGCTCACAGTTGCCTGCTCAACTTCAGGATGTGGGAGAAAAACCAAGCAGTGAAGTGACAAATGAGTTGTTGGAGGAGCCCCAGCTTGGAATTTGCAGCCAGGGGAAGGAGACCTGTCTGCTAAGCCTCAGCCCAAGGGAGACACGTCCACTGAAATATGTAAGATGATCCTAGGGGTCTTCTGCAGCCTTCATGATTCTATGCTTCTGTGCTCTCAGATGTCACCTCCAACTTGTCTGAGTTCCTTCCCTTTGGATGGAGTTCCGATGTGTGGAGAATTGTTGGTGCATCACACTGAGACTTCCTAGGCTTGAATCCAATCTGATTCTCCCAGTTTTAAGGGAGCCCCCCAGGTTACCTTCAATAGGAGTTTGAGATAGCTCCAATTCAGATCAAGAGCCATAGCAGGATGGCAGGCGCAGCTTCCATCACCTGAAGTTTCTCAAGGTTTCAGTTTGTCTGCACGGGCACAGCATGAACTTTTTGATGTGTGTCAGTCTGTGTATAACTGTGGTACAGCCCTCATTTCTGCTGTCTGTGTCCTACAGAGGCTTCCACTGGAGATGTGGAGGTTCTGGGGTTACACACGTCATGTTTAAATCTTACAGCGAGGAAAGCAAGGAGAGAATACCAAGATGTTTCTTGTGAGGAATGTCTCTTCATTCCTCCCTCACTGAAATAGCCCATCACAAATCAGGGAAGTAAGTACTAAAAGCATTGCTCCTCTCTTTCACAAAGCAGTAATTCAACACTCGCTCATACAACACAGAGCCAGTGGTGCTCAGTGGTGCTGTGGTCTCCCCCTCGCTGGTGGGAGCGTGCCTTAAAGGAGAGGCAGTTGTAATAAAACTCAGCCAAATGGTGGAAACATGATCGACTCCTCGACCCGATCGGAGCCAGCAGCCGCTGAGTGGAACATTTGCTCTTGCTCTGTGTGCAGCTGCGTGCTGTAGTGTAACTATTTATGGGCTAGACTCCAATGGGATTTATGGACGATGAAACACTACCAACAGATTTGATTACTGCCTGAGATGACTGCAAATGCTGCAGCAAACTGCAACAGCCGCAAAATGAGGGCAGTCTGACGTGTGTCCTGCCGGTGAGAAATTCCCCAGCAGTGAGAGGATGGAGCTAAATGGCTCCACACAGGCGCAAGATTATGTTGCCTTCTTAAGGCTTCTGCAGTTGTTTTGAGCACCTCTGGGCCTCCTCTGTCACTGGTTATCTTCTTCACTGAGAGCGAGCTGAGCTGCATCTTGTCATCCACGCAGGGTGTAAATGGCATGGTGACTATAGAATGGCCTGAGTTGAAAAGGACCACGATGCTCATCCAGTTCCAACCCCCTGATGTGTGCAGCGTCACCAACCAGCAGACCAGGCTGCCCAGAGCCACATCCAGCCTGGCTTTGGATGCCTGCAGGGATGGGACATCCACAGCCTCCTTGGGCAACCTGTGCCAGTGCGTCACCATCCTCACACTGGGTCCATTCAGACAGTGTTGAGATTTATAACCAAATCTGCTGTTTTTTCTCCCTGGAAGGGTTGGAGGAAATGCACGGCATCTGAGGGTGCTGGGCTGGCTGTGAGATTTTGTGTTTGGCACAGAATGGTAAAATCAAATGGCTCTTGTATCCCAGTTGGATGCTATATGAGGTGCTTTATTCCTCTTTTCCCATCTGCTGGGACCGCTTCAAATCTAGATTACCCTAATATTGAGTATGAGCCTGGTTTTTGGGCTCTCCCAGGATGCTTTTGTCCAAGAGCAGGAGAGAGGGTGCAGTTTTCCTTGGGCTAAGAAAGTTTTGCCTTGGTCTCACACTGTATTTTGCTTCCCCCTTGCTGCGATACAGTGAACTGGAGTCCTGAAATGACCCAGAGTAAAAGCTACTACCCTTCTTCTTCCTCAAAAAGTGCAGCATGAAGGCGGCAGAAACAGGTGGGGGCAGAGATAAAACAGAAGGACCTTCAATCAGCTTTGCCACAGGAGAAGGCAGTAGAGACCACCACACTAAGAGTGAAAGCTGGCTTGAGCAGTAGTTGGGAATACAGAGTCTTGTGGGTGATGCAGAAACAGGCTCTGCCCTAAATCAGCAACTATATCAACAGCCAGTTTGTCCTGTTCTCCCCTGAACAGCTTCTAAGGGAGCAGTTTTGATGCTGAGATACTAGAAACCCTGCACAACCCAATGATGTGATGGTTTTCTCCAGGTCTCAGAGCAGCTGCCCAGATCTTCACGCTCACCTCTGCTTTCAGAGGTAAGTTGCACCAGCGGGGTGGTACTGGGTTGGTGATATTTGTCTCCAGACACCAAATGCCACATTCACAGTGTCTCAACCAGCCTCACTGCTCTCCATCTCACCACTGTCTGTACCAAAGCATTGCCTGAACCAAACAGTGTCTCTTCTGCAATAGCAGCCTATGTAATTCTCACTCAGGAGCCAGGAAGAAAGCTCTCTGAAGCCCTTAGGCAAATGCAGGGGGTGTATGAGGGATATAAATATGTTTGTGTTAAAGGTAGAGTGTTTTTGTGTCTGTTTCCAGCTTGTGGCAAAGAGGTATTTGATGGGTGCTATCCTGCTGCTGTCTGAATGATGGAAGGGTTTGCCTGTTCTTTTCAAAAAGGAAAACAAAACAACAACAACAAAAAACCAATTCTACCTGTCATGTATTCTACCTGTATTATCATTAAGATCCTTTAATTAATATACTCAGGCTTGCTTTTAAGGTCAGGCACAGACAAATCCAGTAGGTGGGCCCGAAATGTGATCAGCCATTCAAAGTTAATTAAACTCGGCCTGACTCCTACGTTCAGCTGTTGTAGAAGGGCTGGATCCTGAACTGCCCTACATCAGCTTAATGCCATGGGCTTTACACAGATCAGGCATTGGCTCCAGATCTGACCCGTGTAGATGACTTTTCCAGAACTGAGAAAAGTAAAGCTAAAAACAAAGCTACCACCTTCTCCTCAAAAAGAGAAAGGGGAGAAAAAAAAACCAAGTATGCAGAAGGTATAAAGCATCTTTTTGATTGATTCAGGAAGTTAACAGTCACTGAAGCAATCTTCTGAGATTCAGCTGTAATCCAGAAATCTATGATTGTCCCTCTTGCCAAGGTTAATGAGTTCCATGAGTTAAAAGGCCCAGCCGTGAAGATGCTGAAGCATCCACATGTGCCAGCTATGACACTGTAGTTGGAGGTTTGAATCTGCACTGGTCTGAGCGCTGAGCAATTTTCCATCTGGGTTGACAGCGAGTTTGGAAGCTAACACTGCACACTGTGAGCCCAACGAGCCCCTCCAGAACCCACTGGCCTGAAAATCCCTGTCATTTCAGACACTGCTGGGCAACAATTTTTAGCCTGCCAGTTGACTCGTTCAATCCAGTATCGCTTTGCTGGAGTTTTCACTGCGCTTGGCTCTTGGATTCCAGTACTCACCGCAAGGCAGAGCACCAGATTGTGGAAGCTGGTGACAGTAGTTGGGAGAACTTCATTCCGAAGGTGCATAACGGTGCATTTGAGTTTGCATTGTGAAATTGTGAACCCGCTTCCAGCAGAGTTGCAGCAGTCACCCGATTTGTCTGGAGCAGGTATGTCTGAGGTCGTGGTTTCATGTTGCACTGAAAATTTGAGCAAGCACAAATTAAGCAGGGTGACAGCGAATTGAAGCTGTGGTTTTCATTTATTTTTGAGGAGTATGAGGCATGATTCTGTGATACGGGGCACCCGAGAACATTTCAGCAACTTTACCATTGTGGTGGTGGTGGCACACCTTTATTTATTCAAACATGAATTGTGGTCACAAAATGAGGAAAAAAAGAAACAAAGGAAGCTTGTTCACTGTCATGTTTTATTGAACAGTGCTCCACCTGACTGTTCTGCACCCCTCCTGGTGATTTTCTGATGTGTGTATGAACCCTGGGCCACAGTGCTGCCCCATTAGGCCACACAAACCACCTCCTCTACAAAGCAGTGCCCAGGAGAAATCCAGGCTCAGACCGGTGTCCCCACTCTGGCATCGCAGCGGGGATTACAGTGGGCCTCAGGTACTCAAGGATCCCACTCTCATACTGTTTGATTAGCCAACTCCTGCTCTTGAGGCTGTGCTTCTTCCTTTCCAGTCACCTCTCCCCTTAATGCAAGAGTCCCAGAAACAACTGGGATGAACTTAGCCTGGATGAGCTTCAGGCTCCTGCCAGGAAGGCCGAGCCTGAGGCAGACGAGCATTTGTGTGCATCAGGCTGTCTTCTGATGAGCTGGCTCTTTGAGGAGAGGAGGAATCTACAGGAATGCTTTCTGCTCTTCACTGAAACAGCTTCTTTCAGCTCTGCCCGTGCCACTGTTGAGAGGTGAGCTGGCTGTGAACATACCAGGTATGGTCCTCGTAGCAGCACTGTAGACAACTTGTGCAGCTTCTGCTTCATGCTGCTGGCTTGGAGACTGCCTGTGCTGCCCTGAAGCTGCCCTGCTCTTGACTTGAACCCCTCACCAGCTCTCCCCTGAAAAACCAAACCCGTGCCCTCGCTTGTCCAGGCTGAGGAGCAGCCCTCAAACAGCACAAAGTCGCATAGTGGAGTCAGTAACTTCCACTGTACTCAGTGCTTAGCTCATGGTTGGAGCTTAAAAAAAAAAAAAAAAAGTGCAATGGTTTAATAGGGGAAGGGGTCAGGTCCCCAGTGCTGCAAAGCAGCGTAGGGTTCTAAAGCAGATTTACCCCCTGCAAGTTTGTGGTGTGCTGTCAGATCAAAGCTGTTGAACCTAGAGCAGATTTTCCAGGTGGGGAGATGTAGTGCAAATCAAACCATAAGAGCAGTAACAAGTGATTCAAATTATCCAGGTTAATCCAGGAAAGCTTATAGAACAAAGCCTGTACATATCCTCTACACAGGTAACAGGCTGAACACTGAGAGAACTCAGTGAAAAATATTTATTTCTTTATGCTGCTGCTGCCAATCAGCTATAATATGAATTTGTTTTTTAAATAAAAGATTGCAAAAATAAATTTTCAAAGCTAACAAAGAGCGTCCGCACCAGTATGCATTCTAGCTTACTATTAAATTACAAGTTCCCATGACATGAGCAATGGACTTGGCAAGGTTTAGCATAAGATAACAGGCACCAAAGCTCGGGGGTTATTTGTCCGTCACTGGAAAAAATGCACAAAAGAGCTATAGATAATGGCCTTCACCTAGAAAGCAGGCAGGAGTAAATTCAGGCCAAGGCTCTGGCAGTTCCAGCTGCTCTGTTTGCAATCTGACATGAAAAAAAAGGAGAGATTCCACTGTCCATCACATTCACTTCTTGTGGAGCAGCTCCTAAACTGCCTACTCCCAGCATGGACAGAAAGAGAATGCTTCAAAGCACAGTGAAGGGCAGCAGTCTCAGTGTTTTATCTCAGTGTTTTCCAAGGTCAACTTCCTGTAACTATTTGTCAGCACCAAAACAAAACTTAAACAGGCAAAGTCACATTCAATAGAAAACTTTCTCCCAGGAAATGGGATACATAAAATAGCAAAACTTTATAGCGCATAAAATACTGTACATATTTCCCCGCTCCCAACTGCAGCCCTGTGTTTTCAGGAGACACCAGCAAAACCTGCATTTTGTTGTTTAAACTGAAACAATGCAACAAAACAACTAGAAATATTAGAGAACTTGGTGTGCCCTAGGAGCATGGATTTATGTTCAGTTAGGTAAACAACAATGAGCTCGGAAGGAGGAGAAAGCAGCTCTGAACTGCTTTTCCAAGTGCTGAAAGATTTAGGCAAGGAACTGCCTAGCTTAGGTTCACAGTTCAAACGCAGGGAACTTGGCCTTGGTTGGCACCAGCAGGTCAGCAAGAAAGTAAATTGTTCCAGCCATTCCTGAGAACGAGAAAAAACAAAGTGCTTCAGAGAGATTCCATTTGGTCATCAGAGTCATCAGTTACTCAGGGAGAGAATGCGTCATAAAGATGGAAGACAGGAAAATGCATTCAGAAGGAGCTATATCATTGCTAATGTCTGAGCCTGTAATTCCCAACCAGCTTAGGCTCTTCAGTGGGGAGAGCATTTTCAAATCAGTCAAATGTTGGAAAACTACCTGGGGAAAGTATGATGATTTTTCCCACTTGCAGCCCCATTCCTTCTTCTTCACCTGTCTACAGACTTAAAAATCTTTGCAAATGTCTTGGCAGAACTCTCAGTCATGTTGCATTGCCTCAGATCCTCACTTTGTGTCTGGCTCTTGCTCCTTGGTGTGCCCCAAAGCTAGGGAGATTTATTTTAGCTAAGGAAGCAGTTCTTTCAGCACTACCTACTGATGGCAGATTTTGGGGGAGTCAACGAGCCCTACAAAAGGGACCCTGCTTGCTCTGCACTCATCTTTGAAATGCAACTGGAAAGCCTATGCAGGATTTTAATCCTTAAAAATGCATAGAGACTGAAGAGCCAGGCTGCAAATTACCTGAAGGCAAATTTGGGCCTGTAAAGTCATTCCCATAAGATGTGTGCAGAATCTGTGCTGCAGGCCCAAGAGGATAAGATGCTCCAAGTGGAGCCACTGGCCTGTTACAGGAACACTGCTTCTGGGAAAGGGTAAAAAGAGCAAGGGCTATTTCCCTCCAGTTCTTTGTGCTGAGTTCTGCAAAGGGTGCAGTGGAGCATTTTCCTCAGTGCTGAGCTGGCTCATATTCAGGAGCTGAACGCATGCTTAGGAATGGAGGTTTACCTTCAAAGAGAGAAAACGGTGTGTCTGGAGTCCGACAGCCGTGCTGACCATAGCTTAAACACCACTCTGCAAACTAGGAAGAAAAGGAATAGCGTTCAGATTTCATTAGAGAAGCATCTTGAGATTAGTACCACCTTCAACCTCATATCATCCCTTTGCAGAACAAAGCTTCTGCAAAATATTCCTTCTGTGCAGGCTGTCATACAGCGACTACCCTGCTCAGGGAGTGTGCTGGTGAAGCTGGTTAGAGCTAGCTCCCTCTTTACCGCAATAGAAATCAGGTTTCAAAGGAGCAAGTTGCACTGCAAAGAAGCAGAAGAGAATAATCCTCTCTCCTCTCACACAGGTTCTTACCTTGCAGGCCCTGTACAGGTATTTCATGTTCTGAGTGAGGTTGTACAGTGCTAGGAAACCATAGGCATTGCCAGCAGTCCCGTGGCAGAGCCCGTAGCCTTTCTTCAATAACCCGTACTGCCAGATCACTTCTGCACACTGCAGGGCATCGTTCAGGTACTGCTGCTCCCCAAACACCTGGAGAGACAAGAAACATCCCCCCACGCTGAAGAGATTTCCTCACACAGAGAGCATCCCCATGTGAGTGAGGGGGCTTGGGTTAATTAGCTGCTCATGTCATCTTAATACCGTGACTCTGCTTTCAAAAGAGGATGTTTTTGATGGGATGGATGGGCTGTATGACCATTGCTTAACACACAACTAGCTATTAGCATTATCACCTGCAACAAGACACCCCCAAAAAGGCTGATGAGGATTTTCAGAAGCAATTTTTTAAAACACAATTTAATAATTAAAAAAATACGTAGTTTTTTAACTTTCTGTTTCAGTCATTGGTCCCACAGGGTGATTTAATTTTAACAAGACAGCCTGATTTTAGGCATTGGGGTCCCAACAGCGTTTTCTCCTTGATGAAGTTCCACGTTTAGGGGTCACCAAAAGATATCTGCAAGATTTCTGGTACCTTGTAGGCCTGGAGAAGCATGTAGATAACGCCTGGTGCCCCGTGGCACCAATGGACAAGCAGGTCTCTGGTGTCATCGATGCAGGGAGGGTAATTGCCTGATGGGAATTTGAGCTGGCAGACGTAGTCCACGCTGGGTTTGACTGCGTTGTGCAGCTTTACTTGGCTCACTCCGAGGCCAGGCTAAGAGACAACGTGTTAAAAATAGGAGAATTACCACTGTGTCTCTCCCTAACAGGCCCAAGGTCTGCCTGAAAGAAACAAAGCCAATTATAATCACATCTGTTCTTGCTCCTTGTAAATGAAGTTGTTTCTTTCACATCCCAAATACCTGATAGTCCTCAGGCTGCTCTGTCAGCAGCAACTCGTTTCCAGTCATACTCTTGCATCCCCACAAACAAAAGCTTCCCCACCTCTGTCACACAAAAGCCCTCTAAGCAAGAGAAGAAAAATCTTTTCCTGAAACTAAGCTGACGTAGTTTCAAGTACCCAACTTTGGAGTAAAAAGGTAAATTGCATAAAATCAGTATTAGGGATGAATTCCAGGAATGATTCCTAGCACCTAGAGCACAGCAGCTGTGAGCTGCTGGGCCAGTCTAACTGCCTGTGATGCTGCATTTTCATGGATGTTTCTGGGTAACTGCGAGGGTGTAGCTTCACCACTGACCTCAGGTGGCAGCAAGGAAGGGGCTTCAGCATCCTCTCCAAATGACACTGCCCCACAGGAGACCTGCACTGCTCTGCCCTCCTGTGGCAGACTGCAGCGAGACTTTCATCTCGGGATCGCGCTGTTCCCAAGATGGTGATAGCTTGAAAATTAAAAATCAATACTTGTGCTATAAAGCCACTGGAGACATAAGCCCAACATCCTCCTGTCCACATTCCTGTTGTCTGCTTCTCCCACGGGTTTTTTTTTTGTGTGTTATGCTTGGCTGGTCCAGGCTCCTCGTGTTTCATACAGCAGAGAAGCATGAAGCCTACACAGCATTTTATGGGAGACAAACTTCCTGAAGAGAAGCCAAGCACTTGAGACCTGGTGGTCTTCCACCTGCTGTGAGAAGTCTAATATAAAAAAAAATAAATCCTATTTCTATAAGCCTTGCTATATTCAAATAATTTGCATTGCTCGGTGAGCGCTCTAACTGCTTTCAAAAAGCAATGTTGTTCATTGCTGTTATGACAAAGCTTAAGCACTGCAAATGTATGCACAAAATGACCCACGTGGGAATTTTCACCCTGATTTCAAAGCTAAGGAAGATTCCCAGAACAGCAATGAATTGAGAAGAACTGTGAGAAAGACCACATCAAAGTAAAGAGGCATTGCAGCTCCCAGCCTCTTGCCTTGCTCTGCCTACTTCAGGCACTGCAGAACTCAGCTGCTTAATGAAAGAAGTCCCACTGTTGTAACACTGAGACAGAAGCTCTGATTTTGGGAGACATTTTCCAGCTTTCCTACTACACCTATGATCTCTTTCACCATGCTTTTCTTACAGCGATTTTCACTCTGCAATGATCTGAGATGGCTCCAAATAACCACCTCCTAAAAACACATAAATCCGAGAAACATCCGAGAAATGTCAACAAATGGAAATACTTTGTAAGCAATTAGAAAATAGGGAAGCTTAGATCCTGCTGATGATCCCTAGGCCTTCGTTACATGAAACTGCTTGTGTAATGTAGATCCTCCAGACCACCACAGAGATGGAAAACCCAATCTCTTTGATTTTCAGACAGACTTGGAGAAAAACATCAGAAGTGGAAATACGTGATCAAACAGAAGAGAGCCTCAGACAAGAGATTTTGCCTGGCTCAGTATCACCACAAAGCCATTCAGATACTCCTTCTCGTTCAAAGAAATGTGAAACGTGCTATCAGCCCCTCCCCTCCAGGTGCCTCTTACCTGCATGAGATAGTAATAAATCCCAGCCAAGCCATGGGCTGCCCCTACGTAGTATTCCTGGTACCACTCATACATCAGTGGGCTCTTGGTTGTAAAGTTCCTCCTTTTGGCTAGGCTCTCTCCTGAGGCTACAACTGCTTCACAGACCTGTCGATGGGAAGAGATGTGTGTGAGGAAAGTACTGCAATCTTGCATTCAGCACAGTAGATAACCTCAAATAGAAAAAGCTGCTGTTAATCCCCCATGTAAGGTGGGGAGTGTGGCTGAAGCAGTGAAAGAGATGCTAACTCAGTGCTATCTGGGCATTCATATGATTTGAGGGATAGGGCGAGGGGGACATGTAGCACTTCTTCCTCTTTGGAAGAGGATGAGCAACAGGGAAACCATAATGTGCATTCTCATTTGTTGCCAGAATTTTCTACATCTAGCACTGATTTTTACGTGCTCAAAGGTGAGCGGAATGGAAAGAGACAGCTAATAAATCAAGTGGCTAATTCAGCCTCCACTGCTGAGAAGCCACAGTACCTGCTGAATGTGACTTTGAGGGATCTTCTCCTCTCCAAAGTGCTTGTTCACAAACAGCAGTGCATACAGATAGCCCATGCGCCCATACAGCAGCTCGTCTGGCACTCGTGGATCAACCTTGTGTAGGTGGAGCAGGCTGCAAAGAAAAAAGCCCGTGACAGAGATGAGAGGACAGCCAAGGCCATGTAAACAAGCAGTGAGACTGGATGTCTAAAACAGAGTTTATTCCCTAGTGCTGCCTATACCCTAAGAGATATCATGAAAGTCCCTGTCTCAGCTTTCTGGTTGTGCAAGGTACAAAATCCCTCTCTCCCCTCTGCTTTTGCTTGGCTTCTTTTGTTCTTTGTTTCACACTGCAGCCATATTATGTGTATGTACTATTTTAGAGCACTAGCTCTGGGAAAGCTACTTGTGGGGAAGTCTGAGGCACTCACCATTACTTTCCTGCGATGCTGCTGGAAGTGCAGACCTTTGCCAGAAATGGTTACTTTCAAATTCAAGTATCTGCCTAATGTGGCTGCTCAAGGAATGCTAGAAAGTCAAACTAGTATTGTGAGTGTGTGGAAAAATCTCAGCCTGTATTCTTGCAAGTCCTGATAGCAAAGCTCATTTCATTCCCTGTCTACAAAGCATGCAGAGCAATGCTGTCGGGAAAAGAGGTGCTTGCATGAGATAGAAATCTGGGTAAGAGGTGTGGAGTGAAAGCTGGATTCATGGTTTAACACCAAGCCTCTGCAGGACACTGGGACACAGGAGAACGTTTTCTTTAGGGAGTGAGAAGCAATAGTGAGGACAGTGTGTGCAGCATGAATGCTGTGGGCTGTCTGTGGGGCAGCCATGGAATGACAGCTGCTTGGTTGGCACTGGCCCACAAGTGAGCAGCAAGAGCTCTGCTGGAGTCAGAAACATTCTCTACCATTTTTCTGACTGTTTTCATATTGCAAATTTGGTGATATTCCTGTTGTGCTAACGGGGATTGAGTGCTGTGCACATTGGCACTTTAAAGTTCAGTTCACTCTCAGTGCAAGGTTCCTGTTTTGCCTCTCCCTACAGCACCATCAAGGCTGGATGCCATTCCATGAGCAGCAGGCAGAGATTTGAGAGGCTCTGTCTTTATTTTTCCATTCATCTCCAACAAAACACTCCGAAAAATGCCATCACTTTTAAAACTCCAGCATCAGCAGCTTCAAGGCAGTATCCTCAGCTGCTTCCTGCTGTGGCTGCAACAGGGAAAGGGCTAAAATAAGAGCTGTGTGTGCAGGGCTTCCCTGTCACAGCAGTGTGAGGAACAGAAGAGGTGCTTTGGCAGCCCTTGCTGCCAGGCAGAACTATGTGCTGTGAAGAAAAGAAGCAACCAAACGCCCAGTGTACCCTCAGAGCAGAGAGAGGATGCTGGGCTCGGACTCCCTGTGGCAGGAGTTTCCCTTGGCACTGGACTCAAAGTAAGCAGAGATATTGAAGGAGAAAGGAGGAAGAAATGTCTCAAGGAGATGGCCTGACCCCATCTCCTCTTGCACTGCTCCTAGGGGAGGTTTCTCACATTAAACCAATGAGACAGATTCTGCATCCAAGATCGGGAATAAAGGGGGTCCAAGCAAGCCATCCGGCAAGGATCCTGCTTCCAGCTGTGTGACCTGAAGAAAAAATCTTGCCTCCTCAAGTCTGCTGTCCCCATGTTGAAGGAAAGCAGATGAAGAGGAGGGTTTCCAAGGAGGAGCTCAGCAGTTCAGCAGACAGGCTCTGCTTAGCAGCAGGCTGGTAGGAACAGATGCTGTCTGTTGAGGATGTCAGGGAAATGTCAGGTGCAATAGCAGGAATGGATGGGTGGATAAACAGTTCCACCCTTGCTAGAGATTTTCAGCAATATGGATGTAAAACCTTCTCTTAGTGGGGAAATCTGGAGTAGTTGGAGCTACCGTTCTTGCTCCCTTTGCATTACTGCTTCTGCCTCCAGCTGCCTTCCTACCTATGGTTATCAGGGGAGCTTCTGTTGTTTTAGATATGTGTGGCAGAACCTGCACAGCATATGTACAGTAGGAGATGCTTGGTGTGTTGCCAGGATGTGTTTCTCAGAAATGAGGATGTAAACTGAGGGCCTGGAAAGAAAGAGCCACTGCTCACAAATCAGCCTGTTGTCCCAGCTGCCAAAGAATCACTGTTTTCTGGGCAGAGGGGAGGTGAGGCAGCATAGAGCAAGATGGGATTTTTGTATGCCCCGACTCTTCTCTGTAGCTGGGACAGAAGTGCATTTTCTATACCCTTGCACTGCATAACTTTGCAACTCTTCTGTAACCAAAAGGCATATTCAAAGCTCACTTAAGAGTTTGGATCAAGGGAGCTGTTTCTCAAAGAGAAATATTCCCTTTTTAAAGGGAGCGCGGTCAGGCTAACTGCTCTGGGAGCTGGTAGCAGAGTAAGGACAGTTTAACTGTTTCTTCCAGAAAGACCCATTTTTCTTCCAAGATGTATGAAGAAACCCATTTCAAGGCTTTGCCCTTATTATGCCATTAGATGGCAGTGCAGGATCAATCACATGTTTCCATTCAGCCACAAAACTGTAGGGTGAACAGGGGGGATGCATGAAGGGAAGATCTACAGCAAGAATACATTAATTAGGGATTTTCTACAACTTGGGGCTTATGTACTGACTGAACTGGCTGGTAATGTCTGACAGGTTAGTTCCCTTGTTATTAACAAATACAACAAATCCACTTTGACACAGCATCAGGCAAAACTCAAACCACAGATTATTTCAAGAATTTAAAAAGGGAATTATGTCTTCAGACTGTCCATATCTGCACAAATGAAAAGCTACCCTAGTTAAAGGAGTGGGAACTGAGTCTCCAAGTCACACGGGCACTTCAGATACCCATCCATGGTATTTTTAATAAGTGTTATGCACCACGGCTGTTTTAAGGGCATTGGTGTCATATTGAAGTGCCTATGGTTTTGTCTTGCTGGCGTGCTGACCACTCAAAATAGCAATTCTATGCAAGGCTCTTTCTCATTTTCTCAATATCCCTTGAGCAAGAAGAGCTTGCAACTGCAGTCTCCCCCTATCCTCCTTCCTCTGCCATTTGCTGATCTGACTGTAATACTGCTTGTATGTCCTCTTTTTTCTTAAGTATCTAACAAAAATATATTTGAAAACAGTTGAGGAAAGGCAGGAAATGGAATTAAATGAATCATAATCAGCTGCATTCAGCACTTGAAAAGGATGCTTTCAATCTTCGGTTAAAGTCAAAGTCAACTAACAAATAGCAAGTTGGAAGCAAGTGACAAAGTTCTTCTTTTCATCTAAATGGATGTCAAGCTGAATTTAAGGGCTCTAAAAAAATCCTAAATCTCACCTTAATTTTTTTTGTAAATATATTTATTTGGGCATTATTTTTCCCCTGTGTTATCTGAATTATTTCTAAAGTGGCAATACCAACTGAGGAATACCCTCTGCTCCCCAGCCTGCAGCCACGCACATCTGCACTTAAGCTAGATGTTTCTTCAGGGCACAACAAGTTTGCTTGTCTTGTCAAGTTTCTGAATTCTCTGAGAGTGTTTCAAAAAACATATTGGGGCATAGAGGAAAGGCCTTGGTACAAACCCAGACCAGTCCTACAGCAAGTGCAGAAGGAACAGGAAGACATAACCATGCGTTTTACCGAGTGATGCAGTCTTCTGACTGCTTGTGGTTCTGCAGTTTGTGGTAGATGACGGCAGCCACTGCCAGGGGCCCAGCATCTCCACACAAGAAAGTGATGGATCGTCTTGTCAGACAGCTCAGGCTCTTCTTCACGTACTCATGGGCCACGTGGAGGTACGCTGGGTCTCCATACACATCATGCAGGTGCAAATACAGCACAGCAATGCCTGCAAAAGAAACACAAGTTTTGTAACCACCAGCAAAGTTGGTTTTTTGTGTCTTCTTCCTGCTACACAGCTTGGCTGCTTTAACACAACAAACAGCCTGGCCCTCAGCCTCATCCAGGTCATGAGCCTTGTGAACCTCTTCTTGGGTACATGCAGGACGTAATAATGCCCAGCAGCACCATCCATAGCTTCTCCTGGAGGCTAACAGAGCTTCTGCTACATAGGTTACATACTGTTTTAGTAGTAGAGAGCAAAAGATGAGACCCAGACAAACACACCTAAACCTATAAACCATACCAGGGACTGGTTTGTAAAACCCAAAACACCAGAAAACATCAGGCAAGACGGGACTTGCTGCAGAGCTTGCAAGTTGGCACCCTGTCTCTACTGCTTCTTCCCATGCCAAGAGCTGAAGGGCTGGGTCCCTTTATTTGGATCAGATTTAAAAGTGACATATCTTCAGCACTGGGAAGCAACACCTGTGAGACATCCTGCTTGGCTTTTTCTCCTCCTCCCACTGGCTCCCACTGAGCAGATCCCAAGACCTACACAACAGACTGGTGCATCTTACAAAAGCAAAGACTCTCCTCTGCAGCACAACGTTCACGACAGCAGCCCAGATCTGGAATAGAAGGAGCTACTTGGAATGCAAAAGCCCCATTATCCTCCTGGGATGTTTTCAGCAGGGTACAGACAGGTACAGAAACAACTCTGTTACTAATGTCACATTAATTATTGTCCTTTGACTCTGTCTGCCCAGTCTTCATCCAGCTCTTCAAGCTTTTAGTATGTAACTGCATGCAGTAGGTCTGCCAAATTCAAACCAACCTGATCTGGAAAGCACCCTCAAACATGCACTGGAGAAAGCTTTAAAGGGCCTACAGCTAGTTTCATCCCCTATCAATAAACATTTCTAAGAAGTCACAGGTCTTGCATTTAAGTCTAAATTAATTGAGCCAATCTCTGCAGATTTTGATGTTGCAAAGGGGTGGTGGTGCAAGAAAAAGCATGCTGCTGAATTACTTTCTGTAGTACTGAGGACAATTTTAAATTTAAATCTCTTTCTCTTTTGGCATGGGTAATCTCAAAAGCTTCGTGCTACAGACAATTCAATTTCACTTGCACATTAAAGGCACATTTCCATTGCCTAGTGAAGTTAATAACCTCGTCCTCTCTCCAAGCAGTTCAGTGTTAGAATTTCTGAGGGAGAAGCTCAGGTGCATGATACCATCATTCGGGTTTATCAGGATGTGGGCATGAAGCCCTTCTTTAAAGGAGAGCTCCTCTTCGAGCCAGCCAACCTAAAGTTACTTCCCCTGATTTACTGAGCACCTAGCACAGCCTCTAGACTCTTAAGAGATCTGATAGCTGTCTGAGCACAGCTTGCACTTCTGAGTGACCTGCTTTAATATACACCTTCTTGCTTTGTAAGTAACTTCCATTCCCATGGCTATTGTACCACCCTAATTGTGTACATAACTACCATGCCAAGACACTACTGCTAGGACTGAATTCCAAGAAAGTAAGAGTCTCAGCAGTGTTTTCCACTGACTTGTCTGCTTTCCCTGTTGAAAAACATTCCTTGCTCCCTTTCCTCCACAGCCTAAGTGCTCTCCAATGGTCAGTCTTTTGGAGAAGATTCCAAAAAGCATTGATCTATATTAAGCCATATTAAGGAATGGAAACAAGACCTTTGCTTTCCCCAATCATTTATCCCCCCCCTTCACCTTTAAAAACTAAAAGCTGTACAAACTGTATCTAAAGACAATTTTTTCAACTCATTCTTCAAAGGAATTCACACTCCTGAGGTGAATTCCTCCTTGCAGCATAAGATCTGGCTGAACAGCCACCTGTGTATCAGACATCACTTAATGGTGCAGGACTGTGGTGAACATGGGTGCTGCTGACAACCTATTTTTTCAATAGGGCTCTGATGACCAAAAAATCTGTCTCTAGCATGCAAGGAGCCAATGCACCGAAATGTGAACTCCTGAGATACTTGCTAGCTGCAGGGAATCAGGAGGCAAATACCAGTTCTGTGTATCTCACATCAAAGCCTGTTTATTTAACATCTCCATCTCTTGCCATCCTGTATAAGAAGTGTTACAGATGCAGAGGGATGCTTTGCGTTAAATATTTCTTTTGGGGAGGTGTGGGAGGAGATTTAAATGCACGCACTGGAAACGGATGTATTTGCAGCAGTCAACTAATGCCAGTGGTCCTAATTTCAGCATCCATTACCTCCAACAGAGCAGAGAGAAGACAAGCTCTTGCTCAAGTGCTAAAGCACCGCAAGAGGCTGAAAACAGTCTCTACCAGATGACTGTTCTGTTGATCAAACCGAAGGAAAACTGTGTCTTGGCTTCCCCACAAGTTCCGTTGGTTGCACTACCACTGCAAACAGTTCAGTTGGTGGGAGAACAGCAGCAGCAAGGCAAAGCATTCCCCTCACGCTGAGCAGGATGGATAAAAGTGGTGACAGCTCCACCACAGTGCTGGCAAGACGAGCACGGACGCCCATCACACTGCTCTGAACGTGCCTCCTTACCCACCAGTGTGGTCTTTTCACAAAGGTCACCAGGTTTCCACAAGAGATTTCTGGGTCACTGCTAATTTGGATCAGTTCCAGACCTGTCATCTACAGTAACAAGGAAAAGGCCTGGAGATCTTATGTTGACCCAGAGAAGTCAGCCAGCACTCTCAAAGCAAGACATCAAGGAGTAGAGAGCAGTGGAAACTCATCTCTGAACACTGCAAGAAAGCCTGATGGTTTCTTGTGGGAAATTCAATGTCATTTTGATAAGGCATGGCATAAAAGTTACAGAGTGGGGTAGAACAGCTCTACTGCCCAGCTCGAAGGACAATAAGCCTCTTTTCTGGTGCAGAGGTATGGAAATTATCTCACACTCACCAATGCATTCCAAAGCCATTTCTGGTGTTTGTTTTTTTTTTTTTTTTCTTCTGAATAGAACTGTAAGGTGATGCAAGTCCTTGGGATTATGAGGTTTCTTCCTGAATTTCCATCCATTCCTGAACTGCTTTTCTTTTGCTGGGTATATCTTTTGAAGAGCGCCTTCAGAAAGGCAGCTCAGCCCTACTCTCAGGCCAGCCAAAAGCTGGGGCAAGCTACCTGCACTAACTAGTTTCTTCCAGAGGCTCTCAAGCTGTCAAAGCCATGGCTAGTGCATTGCTAGAGAAAGCAATGTTTGCATGGGAAACAAATCCCAAAAGCACTGCCAGAAGGGGCACTAAGGGGGCTCTCCCTTACACAGTGTTTCAGAGAGCAGACCACCCCATCATCTTGGAAGGACGCAACAGGCCACCAGGGATCAGACTCAGGAGCTTCTTGGCTTTTGCAGTCAGCAAAGATGTGGCAGTAGTGACGTCAGGTCTCTTGGTTCTTTTCCACCATCTGGCCTTCTAGTCAAGGTAGCCTTTGGACCAAGGCTTCCTGGCCTCTGAGAAATACCAATGCACAAGCAACTCTTGGGCATCCTCATGCTGATCTGTCTGAAAATTGATGAGACCATCGTAGTTCTGCCAAGATTTGAACCATTTCTGATTCAAAATTAGCTTACAGCAGTTTACTTTCCCTCAGTCAATACTCTGATAACAGCAAAACAGATTAAGACCATAATAGCTTTTGCAGCTGTCTAGCTAAACAGATTAAAAGACAAAACGGAACACGAGAGCTGAGCCTGGTATACACCCAGGCACATTCTAGGCTTAGCCTACAGAGCCCTGATCTCTATGGGGAACTGAATGAAATCATAACGAGCTGATCCAAATGTGTTTTGAGGACATTCAGCTGTATGCTGGATAATCTCAACCCGAGCACATTGTCTCTGCCTCCGGGCTGAAAAATGCAAGTCCTTCCCTTCCTCTGCTCCAAGTTCACATGCCAAGAAGCAGTGGCTTCACTGGCACAAAAGCAAGTGAGGAGAGGAAAGGCTCTCAAGTGTGCTGGGAAAGAAAAAGGCACCAAAGTAAAGTGCCAGCATATGCTGTGTATTACTGGGTGTAATGTAGTATGCTGAAGTATGTTGCATTTCACGCAGAGTTTACGCTAGAAGAGGCACATTTCAAATCTTTCTTATTAGTGGCCACAAGAGTGCGGGTTGATTTCAGACTGCTGGGCAATGATTTACATGAGAAGATGCTCAACAAGCCTTTTCTACATAAGCAATTAAGGGAAAAAGCTGCTGTCTTGGCCCAATTAATTTGCTCTCTGGAAACCAGCGCTGAATAAATTAATACAGCTAGGATTAGAAAAGAAACGTGGGTGACTAAGATACAATGTAATATGTGCAAACTTCACTTCTCTGGCAGCGACCCACAGGAAAACTGCCCCCAGGCTCTTTCTAATCCTATTAGCCAGAGCAGGAAGGTTGTATGCCCAACGAGAAATGATCCCAGGGTAGGAAGAAAAAAAGGAAGAAATTAATGCTCTCCCATGCTGGAATTCAACAGTGGCGTGTTGGCGTTTCTTATTAACTGCTTTGGAGTACTCTCAGTGCCTGTCTACCTTGCTAAAATTTTTAAGCAGCCATTTCTGACATTGCTCTCACCAAGTGGTAACGTTACCTTAGCAACAATGAATACTGTTTTCCCAAGCAAACTGCTGGCATCAAGTTCCACGGTATCCAAGCACAAGCCATGCTCAGATTATAATATGGAAAATTGCCATTTGGGATTACAGCATATAGGTTAAAAAAAAAAAAAAAAAAAAAAGAAAAAGCTGTGGCAGCAAAAAGTCTTGCAGCAGCCAAACAAGTACCTGACTATCCCAAGATGCTTCCCTAAAGCCTGGCACAATGCAGAAAGCAGCAGCAGAAAAGCTGACAAAGCACCCAGCAGAATCCAAAGGTGTATCCTCCCTGGCTCCAGGGCATAGGGATAGGGCGGGGAAGGTAGGGCATGCTCCCAAAAATGAAAATACAGGTTGAAAATGCAGAACAGGATAGAGACGAGCTCCTGGAAGCTTTGCACAGAAGAGTTTGACTGAGTAAGGTTTCCCTCTTTAGTTCTGTTCCCTCAGCAGATGCTGAAGCAGAGGTGGCCCTGGCTGAGTGGAGGGGCACTGCCTGGGGAACCGTCTGTCAGTCAGTGTCTTAAGATAAAAATCTGCCCAAACAAAAAAGACGGACATTATTGCAGGCTCTCAGCTTACGACTGCCACTTACTGCTGCTTACAGGGAAGTGGCCTACCATGCACACATGCCTGCTTCACAGAAAAGCAGTTTACTTGTCAGCACTCTTCCCACAGCTAGATTTTGGAGCTCTTCAAAAGCTCCAGTATTATCTCCCAGGCAGATGCGTTGCAATCCTCCAGCTTTATCTGTTACACAGGTTTGGCGCTATTAAGGAAGACCCAGTCTCATCTCTGCAGTCCTCCTTTGCAGTTTGAGTTCTGATGCCAAAAACGGGGGCTCCAGAAATAACAGCCCCTGGGCTTAACAGATCGTGCAAGAGAAGCGCCGGTCACGACACACGTTTACTGTGGATGAAGTGAAGAAGTGAGTTTGACTCGGCCTAACCCAGAGGACAGCTTCAGAGCCATCCAGCCCCGTTCTGAGCAGTCGGCCATGCCCTACCTGCCCAGCCCGTGTAAGCCGTGCAGTCCCGCGGGTCAGCAGCCTTCAGGCCCCTCTCCATCTGCTGCAGCAGTTCCCTTATTTTGTTGTTCAGACGCTGCGTGAACTCGGGAGTCAGCTGCAGGGAACGCAAAAACACCAAAATCAACATCAGCAAACGGGAGAAAGGCGGAGTGAGCGAGTGGAGGGGTGCGGGCTGAGAGCGCAGGGCCGCGCTGGAGAAAGAGGCGAGCTTTAAAGCACGCATACAGGAACCTCAGGGTCCCCCGAACAGCCGGGACCGCGCTGCATCCCTACTCACCCGGCCGGACGCATCGAAGTACGCGGTGCCCAGAGACTTGTCGTAGTCCGCGTACGGGTTGGGCAGCGCCCGCTGCGCCATCATGGTGCTGCTGGTGCTGCTGCCGCCGCGCGCGCCGCCTCACCTCGCCCCGCCCTGCGAGGCGCCGCCGCCGCCGGAAGGCCGCAACCGCGCCGTGCCGCCCCTCCGCAGCGCTGTCTGCTCGGTCGCCATTTTGGTTCCTCTTGGCGGAGCTCGAGTGGCGGCTTGCTGTCGTCCCTGTGTGATTTAGAGCTCCCCTCAGGCTGGTTCTGGGGGTTTGTTTGCTAACCTGCCCACACAGAGCAAGGAACGCAGGCGAGCAATGATTTTACTAGGAAAGCTGCTCCCACGTTCCCTATGCAGTCCCAGTCAGCCGCGGTGTGAGGGTGTGGGCACAACACTGGTTTGCTTATTGCATCTGGAAAAGGTCGTGCTGGAGTTTCTGGGGAAGAAAAGGTGAGCGAGTTGTTCGGAACACATCCAGTGCAGAACACTGAGCCTGGTTTTGTGTTACCTGAAAGTAACCGGATAAAGTGGTTAGAAACCAGACTCCAGCTGGTCTTCATTAGTAGCAGCCCCAGCCCAGAGGTTGTTCTGGAACGTTCTGCGTCTGAAGCGGCTTGCCGCAGCGATGGGAAGGAGGTCTCAAAACCTGTGAGGGAGGAAGGAATGGTGTGGAGTACGTCCTGCTCCACAGCATCAAGCAGAGACAGATCCTTGGTAAATGTTAGTCCTGGTTGCTGGCACTCTGGTAGGCTGGTTGCATGCCCGTGGGTGCTGTGGTTATATGGGTAAAACTCATGTTTTGCAGTTCTCCCTGAAGATCACTTCAGGATGTTTGATTGCCTGCACCCTTCTCATCTCCATGAGGACACAAATCCAAACGTTGTGCAGAAACATCTCCTAACGTAGAGAAATGGCTCCTCCTGCACTGCCCTACCCTGCGGTAGGCGTCCTGCAGCTCTGCAACCTCGGCCCTCCAGTCAGCAGGGTGGAGGTGCTCCACAGAATTATGAACGTTGGGCACGCTTTCAGCTGTAACACTATGTGTAAAACAGTGATAAGTTTAGAAACATGGCTATTTTTTAGCTTGCTATATTTGATCTCAGCAAACAAAACTCGTATTCTCAAATCTTAGTGTGTTTTTGAGGTTAAAAAGGTTTGCTTTTTGAAGGTAAAGCAAGTGTTCTATCTTGTTTCTGTGATGACAAAGTTTCTCATTTTTAAAGGATGTCTGGAGGGAGAAGTGTCTTTTTAATTGGATTCTGTTTTTGCAATATACCGTAAGCATGATTGCATTTTGCATTGATTATTTTCTCTTAGCAGCTTCTGTGGGGAGATCAAAGCCTGAGTATCAGTGACAAAAGCTGAACTAAGCTAGTCGATTATATCGATAATGTATCTAAAGCAAACCTTACCTATATGCTGCCTGCATTTATTGGGGTCAGATGGTAAGACGAGTGCTCAGCAAAATCCAGTCCTGACTCTGTGCACACACTGACGTGGGCCCTGAGCAGTGATTAGCATTCAGAAAAGAGACCTCAAAGATGTAGTAGATGCTTATGCATGAATGTGAGCTTTCTGCTCAGTTGTTGTGAGGAAGGGGAAAGAGAACAGAAGTGAGAGACCTGTTACATGTGTTGGTGGCTCACTTGCTTCTGAAATACTGTGTTTACATTTCATCCCCAAAAGCGTGGCCAAGATAGGAGAGGTACAAATTAGAGAACTAATCAGATCAGAAATATGCTGTGCATCGTGGCTTATGCGCAAGCACTAAGTAGTCAGAGTAGGGCTGTTCAGACTGGAAAAGAAACATGGAAAGAGTGTTCTTACAGGTGCCTGTCTGGTCTTCGAATGTTGTCGGGAGCGTAATGGAAGAAGGTGATACACTGGCTTTCAAAGTTAGCACACATCAGCTGAAATGACTCGGAGCAGCCATCAAAAGTGAAGATTATTCATGTAGTTAAGCTGTGGCAGGTTGTTAAGGAAGATAGTAGCACTATGGCTGTGTGCAGAGGAGGCTTCTGAGCCCATGCTTCTGGGAGTTTGGAGACTGTTGCTGCATGCATTCACTAGCACGCTGTGTTTCTGACATAGGAAAGCCGGTATTAGAGGATTTGGGTATCCCTCATGCTATGTGTTTCTGTTTTGCTTTACAGCGCTCAGTCTGGGTAGAGCAGTTAGTAAGCTAACAGCTTTGTAACAATGCGTCTCTGTGCCAGCAGCTGCTGTGTCTCCCTTCAGCTCCCGACACATCGCTGCTCTTTTAGGGCTTAGCCGCTAGATGCCCCTGTCTCACAAGCAGCAAATCGGAGGAGACTGGCTTTGCAGTGGGAGAGCAGCTAACGCATTGCTTCGAGGGAGCGCGTGGCTGCTTTTGTAGGTAGTAATGAACACAGATCGGAGGTTCTGTACATCAAGGCTCGGGGGAAATGCATGTTGCAGTTCTCCGTGACATTATGCCACTTCCTCCTCTTTGTAGCTGTAAGGTATCAGCTCCCAGTGTACCCTTCAGCTAGTGTGGGAATCCTCCCTCTCTTAGTAAAGGCAGGGCTGAGAGTTTGGAGAGCAGACCTAGAGGAGATCAGTAAGGGCTTCTTGTTGGAATAAGCAAAGAAAACGAGACAGGAAGCTGCTGAAGGCTGGATCATACTCTCTGCTTCAGTGGTGTAAAATACATCTGGAAGACAGTACGTTTTGCTGTGGTTTTAATGGACTCTGATCTCTGGACAGGACTGACATCACGTCAGGTGTCTTTTGCTTTGCTGTAATGATTAAAGCAGTTCTGCAGACGGCGCTTGCTTCTTTAATGCTGTCTTTAGAGCTCAGTGCCAGGATTGGATGTGATCTCCAACAGTAATATGGATGTAGCTCATTGCTCAGCTTGACTATATTTGACATCTGTCTGCAGCCGAGTTCACCTTTGCACGTCTGGAGGGTGTGCAGTGCTCGAGTATGACTGTTGTCTCGTTTGCTGAGCTATGTGAGCAGCTTGGGTGGCAGTGAGCAGGATCTTCATGACAGTGAACAGTACATTTAGGCTTAACAGGTGATCTGAGGTCTCTGAGTATCACTGAGGGGAGCCAGCTGTTTCATTTGGTAGACTCTGATATTACCTGATACCTTATTCCTTCAGGGAAGCAGGGTAGATTGGTACGGATCAGGAATGCTGTGGCCAGTGCTGTCAGACCTCAGGGCCTAAAGAGAAGGCAGCTGGTGAGGGAGGAGAGCTTCCTGATCTGATGCGAAGCCAAAGCAGGTGGTGCAAGGTCTCCTGCTGCCCGGAGATTGGCTGTGATAAAATTTGTGGCTCAATTTCAGCCCCAAATGTTTTCTCTTCCCGTAGCTTACAGAGGCTCTTGCAGCTGCTCTTCCTTCCTGCGGGTCATCAGTAAGTCACACACCTAGGAGAGCCGTGTATTCATTAGCATCGCTGAACAGTCTCTGTACTGGTAATGGCTGTAATTAGCAGTGTCAGTACACAGAATTCCAGAGACAGCTTCTAAACAAATGACTTAAAATCCCCCACATAAATGTGTAGTGCCACACAATCGATCTAATTTCCGATAGATTTCTTCTTCCTTTTGTATACTCGAGGGACTAATAAGCTGTGAACTTCTATTGAACTTTGCTTCTTGTGGTTCACAATATTTCCTTCTTTGCAAAGACTTTCTAGTGCATGGTGTGCCTCAGCTGCTGCTGGCTGCTGCTTGCAGTGAAGCTGGGCTTGGAGTTGCCTTGAGCATAGAGGCAGGAGGTGGTTGGTTTGTCCTTTCTGATAGGTGTAATTGTCTTGCCACTTCCACAGGGCTGGGGCATTAATAAGTCATTAAGGTAAGCGCGCTAGAAACTGTGGTAACTTGTCTTAGTGGCTGGTGAGGATCTCTGGCGCAGCGCAGATCCTCTTCCTCAGCTGCAGTGCTGGGCTGGGTGCTGCTCTGTGCACTGCTGCCATTTACACACAGCCTAGAAATAAAGGAGACGGGAAGAGCTTTTCCCAGATGACCCTCATGAAGCTCTGCTGAGGCTGGCTCTCTGCAGGGAAGGAGCTGTCCCTGGACAACAACACTGTGGAAATGCCAGCTTGGATGTGCAGCTGGCCTTGGAGAGCATTGTCATCCCACAGATGTGTCCATAATCCTGCGTGGTTTTTCTCCCTGTGAAAAGCGAGCTGCTGTGCTGAGGCTTTTGTGGGGAGGAGTGTTTCCAGCTGGCATGGAGCCACTGCAGCTGGCTGACACAAGGCATGCTGGCTGTGCCAGGATGTAGGACCGTGTTTTCCTCCCCAGACGGTGACATCTCCCAATGGGTCACTGCCTGGCATGCAGGATCAGAGCTTTCTGTGTGCTGGAGAGTTTCTTGTTCTGCTGTTTCTTATATATTTTGCTACGTTTTTATTTTCAAAGTGTGTTTTCTTTTTAAAGATAATTTGTGAAGGATTGAAAATATTTTGCCAACTTCTTATGTCACTTGAAACCAAGGGCTGGTTTCCTTGCTAAGTTTCCAACCTCATGGCTTCCAACCTCACATGCCAGTTTTCTTTCTTGTGACTCTTCTTATGGTACAGATGAGTGGAACAGAAATGTATTGCTTGTAGCGTAGGTGTACGTGTAATACTGGAGCTGGTTCTCCTCTTGGATTCTGGTCTGCAATTGACATCTTCAAAATTTCTGCATCCTTTCCAGGGCATTTTCAAAACAGCAAGCAAACAAGGAGAAACCTGATGTACATGGAGAGACTCTTCCCAAAGTAGGCCCTTGGATTCAGGGAGCAGCAGCCTGCAGATCATTGACACTTAAACTGTAAGTGCTTCTGCAGATTTTCACTTGTTCACTTGACTGCTTTGGTTGATACTGGTTCTATTTTGAATGACCGAAGATACAGTAACATGGTTCTTTGCTGGCAGGCCCGAGCCAGAAGTGGAAGTAAAAAAAAATGGGAAGCAAGTGTTATTTCACTTTGTTAAAGGTAATGCTGTGCCCAAGACACGAAGGTCGTGAGCTTCTGTTGTGAGCCTTAGTGCTGGATGAATTTTGAACCCATTAGGCGACTGGCAGGATGGATGAAATTGTTGTTAGAGA